GGCCATGAATATCTACTACGAACTTAAACCGGAAAGTATTAACGAAGTTAGTATTTAAATTCATTACGCGACCACGAACAGTGAAGGACGAATAACAGAAAAGAGAGCCGCGTGTGAGGAGTAAAGAAACAGATATACTGTCCAAATCAAAATCGAGGCCTTCAGGACATCCTCGCTAAAAACTGGGGAATGGGGTAGAAGAATACTACAGCTAACGCAACCCAATCAAGTTCCGCTAATCTAGAGATCTGCCGAGCAGAGGCGAGCGACCCGTGCGTCGACGAAAAAAGTTGGGCGATTGGAATACAAATCCAATCCTAAAACTTCTTACAAATTGGGCCGAAACAGCAAGATGCAAGGAAAAAAAATTACAAATACGCGATCACTGAGAAAAGCTAGACCTGCAGGGCTAAAGGACAAAAATGCCATACACTGACTTTAAGAAGAAAGCCCCAAGTTACTAAATGAATACTATTGGTAAGCGTATTGTACTATCGGAGGGATAGCTTCAAATATGCAGTAAAGTGTAATGCAACATGAACAAGACAGCCCCAGATGTCACGATTAGATGTTAACGGATGTGGCGGAGGAAACAAGACTAAAGAAAGCAGCTAGATGCAAACAAATATCACGCAGAGTCCAGATAACATCCATGGCACTCAGCAATCCTAAAGGAGGCTAGGGCAGAGGTTGATTGCCCCAGTGGTCACAGTAAAATATTTCAAGAGATCACTGGCGAATCGGGCGAAGTCCCTCATATGTGGCATACTGGCACACGTAACGGCCAATATTTAAGAAAAGGGAAGCAAGAAACTGGCCAGAAAAAATTACAGGCCGGTGAGCCTGACCTTGCATTCTTATGGTGGCAGAAACTAGCTGGAAGGAATGATCACGAGTCCATCATCAAGTACATATGAACTGCCGAGAAACAGTACTATCTGGCAGGCTGAGGCAGATGACGGGTCAAGATAAAAGCCGATCATGGCGCAGCCTGCTCTAGATGATGGGTTGTTGTTGGAAAGAATGGGACTGAACTCATTGGAGAAGAAAGAGCGCCGATAGATATTGGTATACTTTGACTTTTCAGAAAAGCGTTTGATCAAGGTGCCACACGAAGCTCACTAACCAGTAAGTTAGAACTTCTCTGGGATACCAGACGTAACAACACATTGCTGGATTAAAAAAATACCATTAGGCGAACAGAGCAACCAAGGTGGTGATGAAATGGTGAGAGTTTGCCACACAGCAAATTAGGCAGTATACAAAGTGGCCGTGGCCGCAAGGCAGTGTACTCCGGCCCAGCACTTAAATTTATTTTTATGTCCATAAATGACCTTGCCAGTGTGCATTACACAACAAATATACCGCCTATGTCCGATGACGTGTGAGCCACACAAAACTATATTGGCAGAAAGCTAGTAGCGTAGAAGCGCGTGTCCGTAAACAATTCAGAAGATGTGGATAGGTTAGAAAAATGGCACGTAGCATGCAGATGAAAGTTCGGCAATGCCTAAAACAATATGTAAATGTATCAGACTAGAGAACAGGTCACGGGCTGACTATAGCTACAAATGAGAGGGGAAGCCAACACAGGTGTCGGTGTCTGGAATATACGTTGAGCAACAGCAGGTCTGCGGTATTTATCACAGACAAACGCCTCACGAGCTTTGGATAGACGCCATATAAATACGAAAAGTGTGCGCAGCAAAAGGGCATAGCCTCGGCATATAATCCATGGCGACGACCTGTCCATTACATGATCAACAAGATCATATTTAGATTACTGTTCAAAATCGCATCGGTTAAGACCCATAAATTGAAATACGGTAACGAACGGTAATGGGCCCCATTTATCGAGAGCGAGAGTGCGGTCTCACTAAGAAAATCGAGTAGGCGCGTACCAACGAAATGCACAAACAGAGTACGGCGCCGGGTTAAACTAAATCTGTCGTATGATGAATAGGCTTAACGGGCCGTGTTAAAAAATTACCAATCACTTTTAATACAGAAAGAAGACGGGGTGACATGATTGAGGTCTGAAGCGATTACATGGAAATACGAACGACCAAGTACCCGTGCTAAAATTAGAGCAACCCACGGTGAGCACACACGAAAAAGGTCCTGCAGATACAATAGCTTTAAACTGTTATAAGACGACAAGTAGATCATAACACTCTAAAAAGAGAAATCATTTAGGCTTTAGGAACCGTCAAGCGATTGATGGAACTGACCATGGGCCCCAGGAGTAGAAATTTGTTATAGTTCAGAAGAAACGATAAAATGAATTCACAAAAAACAAGAAAATTGACAGGCACTGGTCCACCTGCAATATGAACTACCTTAACGTAAGTCAGCATAGTTATGGAATGTAACTGATCTGAGTTGCACCATGAATGCAGAATGTATACAAAATGGAAATTTACCTTTCGCAGAGACGTATACTCAATATTGCTGAAGCTACAATACCACGACGCAGTACACACTCAATTTGAGAAGATCATTTAACATCGCGAGGAGGCTATGACACAAAATTGAAGGGTTTGATGTATTAATATTAGATGCCGGATACAGGCGCCTACGGGCCTATCCTGGTAAAAGCCGCGTAGGATTCATTCTAACTGTATAACACACGCTGCCAGCCATTGGCGCGCACACTGGACACACCTAAATATATAGTTATATTTATTTTATGTGTCAGTGTGCGTGCAAACATGGGGCGGCGGCGTGTTACCAGTTGAAACGCTTCAAGTGCTGTGGGCCTGGAGTACTGTAGGACTAGTCGTAGTACTGACTATACCTAGTGTCGGCGGAGATGAAGCCCAGACGCTGTTAAGTCAAACAAGGAGCCCCCCAAATTCCACATCTCTCAAAAGTTTGCACCATACTCGCTACCGCTATTCTTGTAGGAGTGCCGCTCGCCCTGGAAGTTATTTGTACGCGTGAATTAATGCTAAGTTAGGGCTGGAACCAATCTTCTCTATCCCTGAGGCCGCTAGAAAGTAACATCAACCTTAGGGCATAAATGAGCCACCCCGCCAAACGCAAGGAACGCATACTTATCGAGTAGTAAAATGCGCGGTGGTTTATAGAAACGCGACATTTTAATTTGAGTAAGACAACTTTAATTTAGACATAACAACTATAGAAACTGCGCATGTAATAGCAGATAGAGAATATGTGACCAGCTAGCGTTTCATGAATAGGCTTTTGCTTCAAGCAGAGTAAAGCATAAAATATTGTCAATTGATGTTTGACGATAAGAAACCTCCAAAAAGTAAGTAGATATATTGTAGCAGTGGAGACAATAGAATTTTCGCCATAATCCTTGGAAAAGCTCCACTACCAAGCGCGGAAAAATGTCACAAAAAACAACATTGAAAAAAAAGTAGCGCAATTGTAAATAACGGAGGCTTATAATACAGAGCATATAACTCTGCTGTAAACTTGAAA